GGGACTTGTTTTTCATTCGTCAATCAGAAACTATTCTAGAGATTATAACCTGGTAACATTGACCATTTGACAGTGTAGGACCTGTGTCCCACAATAATATTAATAGCATAATTTGATATTAAAAAAACAGAAGGCGGTGGATACGTTCATTAGCTTAAATTCTGTAATGTCTGCAGATACCAAAACATCATGTTGCCCACCATAAAACACACAATTTGGGGCAATTAAATTTTTAAGAAGTATTCCCATTGTCAATTCTCAAATTAACAGGAAGTTAGAAGACACAGCTCTTAGTAAGGAGGGAGGCCTGTGTTAACCATCTCACACGCTAACCCTCTTAAATAAACGGCGCTGTGTGCCGTCTGCTGTTGTGATTCCCATCTCCCAGAAAGGAAGAATGAAGCAGAGCTCAGGTCACTTGCCTAAGATTGTAGAGCAGTTAAATAGCAGAGCCAGGATCTGAACACAAGGTGTCTGGCACCAGAGGCCAAATGTTTCCCCTTTGCAGCTCATCTGTGAATTGTACCTTAAGTTGGCTGTCGGCTTTCACATCCACCATTGGCTTCCACATGCACTGACCCAGCCAGCAGTTCCCCGGCCTTTCCGTGGAGTGTCAGCAGATGTTCCGGGAAAAAACGTTTAATGGAAAATTATGTGTGCAGAGATTATTTACACTGAGGACTTCCCAGAATTTTATGTTAAATTTGTATTGCCTGTCACCGAGAGGAACATTCATCTTATAGCAGTCTAAAGTTATTTTGGCGTGGAACGTGGGGTTTTGTTTTTATAAGATATCTATAGATATCTCAGGGAACACACCGTTCTGTGCCATTTCTGTGCTCTTGAATCTCGTCCACTGTTTTCACGCCATTGGCTTCTGCTGAATCTTGTGTGCTACCAGATGAGCTCTCCCATGCGAGCTCGGAGTGTTCACACCCACAGCACGGTGCAGGGCGCTTGCTTTCGTTTCAGTCATTGCTGCAAGGGCCCTCCTGTGGGCTTGGCTTCTGCTGCTCCCACGTGGACCTCCTGGCCATGCATGAGTGGCTGCAGCTCTTGGGCTGTGATGCCTGGCTTTGAGTTCCCGCTTGCCTTCTCTTTGAGAGGCCGTTCTACTAAGCCTTCAGATCAGCCAGAACAGCTCTCATGTGTTGGAGATTTTACCTGGACATCTTTCTGTGGATCCCATTATGAATACCGCTGCTGGCCAGATACCCATCTTCTCAGTCCACACACAGTCTGGTAGGAGTGTTGAAACTGTGCCTCTATACCAGGAGCTCCTCTGAGACCAGATCCTGTACCAACCGTGTCATTACCTGGCACAGAGCAGTTTCTTCAGAAGTATTGAATGAATTTGACCTTCTGAAGACATTAATTGTTGCAAGCAGGTTTTGTTTGTTTGTTTTTTGTTTTTTTGTTTTTTTTCTGGTACCGGGAATGGAACTCACAACGTCGCGCTCGCCAGGCAGGTGCTGTGCCGCTGAGCTAAATCCCCAGCCCCAACAAGCAGGTTTTGATGTTGGCCTAAAGTCGGGTTCCCTCTAACATTACCCCACCGAACATATTTTATTCCTTTTGCTTGTAAGTCTTTCTGGTATTCCAGCGCAGTATTTGAGTTTTCCTGAAGTGTTTTCCACATGAAGCTTTTCTTTTTTAAATAAGCATAGGATGTTATCACTCAGTGGCTGGTAGGGCACTCAGAGCTGAATCTAATACTGCATTCTGGAAATGACTAAAGCAATTTTTAATTTTTATGGAAACCATATTTTTAAAAATCAGTGTTTGCTACGCCTTTGACCCCTTTGTGCTTGTTAAAACCCATCTGTCTTACTTTGACCTGTTCATTTAATCTTGCTCAGTCCATCTGCTGTATCACTTGGTTCAGCTAGCTGTGTGTTACCTTCAGTTTTACATACACACCTATCGTTGCTTCACCCACACTGGTTAACAGGAAGAGCCCCCAGTGGCATCCCAGTAGATGCTCATACTGGGTTAATCTTGGGTTATCATGAGTATATCCTTGGCATAAATATCTCATAGGTTTGTCCAGCTCTATAGCATTTAATCCTTTTTTTTTTTTAAATTTATCTAACACTTACCTTGGCAAATGCTTTGTGGAAATAGAGCTACTGTGCAGTTTATAAGTTGAGTTTTGCTTCATATTTTCTGACTTCTGTGTTACCACACTCCTTACCAGTGACTCAAATGCCCAATATTTTCAATGTAATAACCGATTGTAAGTTTTCTTGTCAAAATCACCTAAACATAGTCACTGTATAAAGTTAATCACTGAAGTGAAACTAATCAGTTGTTAAAGTTTCAACACCGCATGACCTTAGATCTTTATCGGTTACAGTATTTTAACCCATCTTCTCAGGTTTTTAAAGGTGGCAGAAAGAAGAAAACAAAGGGAAAGAAACGTGTGGAGAAATCTCTGTATGGAGAAAGAGAAATTGCGTCTAAGAAGCCCCTGCTGAGTCCCATTCCTGAGCTGCCCGAGGTCTTGGAGGCTCCGTCCTCGGTCGCAGGCATCGGAAGGCTGCATGCAGGTATCCCTTCCTGTCCTCTTGTCACGCCTTGTCTTCTTTCTCTACCCTCCTTGTTGCTATTGGATTCTTTCTTCCCTTTTTGCATTCACTCTGTAACGTGTACATAAATAAGAATAGTAGTACTTCTTAATTATTATGAGAAGTTTAAGTGAAGGAAGCTGTAGAGAGTTCGTAACTTTTAGGTATCTTGGACTTTTCCAGAATCTGATGAAAGCTCTGAGTCATTTTTCTAAAACAACCCAGGATTGTTTTTTTCCTAAAAGAACATAGGACCTTCAACTCCAGTAGACCCCCAGCCCATTTTAAATTTTTTTAGTTTGAGGCAGGGTTTTGCTCAGTCACTGAATTGTCCAGGCTGGGCCTGTACTTGCAGTCCTCCTGCCTCAGCCTCCCAGAGTCCTGCAGTTGTGGGAAGGTACCGCTATGACCAGCTCAGACTCAAGATTTTTGTGTATCTTTTCAGGGGAAATAATTTCTGTTCATCATCATTTTTGCTTCTCAGAGCATCTTACTGAATTCCATTTGGTTGTATGGTCCATCATTAAATGTGAACAAGGTGCTAGATCTTGTCTGAGTTGAGCACAAAACTAAAAAGCTTGCCCCATGCCATGCGCTGGCACTACTAAGCACGGCAGGCGTCTTCTAGGAAAGGTAACTACTAAGCAAATGTCTTCAAGAAATGGCATCTGTGAACTGATTTGACTACTTTGAAGGCTGTTTATAAATGCAAATCAAGTCGGTTAATGGCCTGATTGGATAAAAAGTGTATTAGAGCTGCCTTCTGGTTTATAGCACTTGGGTTTTAAATTGGCTAAGTCGTGCTGAAAGTAATAAGGGCATGTGTCCACTTGGTGTGTGGATTTTTTTTTTTTTTGGTAGAGAATCATTTTTTAAACAGCTGTGGACACTTATAACATGCATTCTATTTGTGGCACACTGTAGGATTTATACTTTACAGGGTTTGAGGATGAATGAGGTGCGTGCCACTGGAGACACTTGGATTCTGTGAACTTCTCAACTTGGGGATAGAGCAAGAGTTTAAATGAACTGCCCACAGCCACACACCCCGTGCCCTCCTCTGCCCCTGCCTGTCCTTTGCAGGGGTCTTGGGACAGGAGGTCGGCCACCCCACCTCTTTTTAATCAAGTCTAAGGCTGTTTGTGTATTAAGATGCCACTTTGCTGCCTGCCTTTCCAGGA